GCTTTGTGACAAAAGATGAAAATTTGCTTAATGTCTAACTGAAGTATTTTAAGTATTTGTTTTAATAAAGGGGGTAGTTTTATATTACCAAGGTGAAAATAAGCGATAGTTCATCTTTCATGACAGAAATCTATGATTATTTGATAAAAATCCATCATGTGATATTCTATTAAAAATAACCAACTACTACTAAATGTTCTTCATCAACTGAATGTTATATTTGGTAAATATGTGCCATTGCTTATTTCATTTAATGTTCAAGCCAATTCTCTGAAGCACTGTTACTATATGTATTTACAAATGAAGAAACTGAGAATGAAAGATCTGAAGTAATTTACTCAATCCAAAGAGAAGGTTCCTACAGCTGTAGCCTCATTTCAGGTTTCTGAACTGTACATACTAAAGTGATATGAGCTGCTTCTAATTGTTCCATAAGAGAATAGGAAACATGTGATCTTATTTCATATAGAGTGCAATGCCTTTGTTGGCTCGGCTTGCACCAACTGCCTGTAAATCTGCTTGTCAAAACCACATATTGAAATGATATTTTAAGATCATTAGCGGTCGAGTTTTTCAGTGGAGACGATTCAGACCCACAAACCACATTTTGTATTCTGTGGTTATGCTAGAATATAAAGGGATGTTATAAAATTTTTAAAAAACCAAGAGAGGACTTTTGTAAAACATTCTGTGAGTTTATAAACAATTAATTTTAGTATTTTGAATGAAATAAGGATGCTTTAAGAATTTGGGGTAAATAAAATTATTTGCAGGTTAATGTTTGATAAAGATCTCTTACAATGAAAGGTTCTTGTTTAAACCAGCTATTTGTTTACCAATCATGTGTTTTTGGTTTTCAAGTACAAGTTGATTTTATTTGTACCAGCACATTTACATGTGCTAGTGAATATGTTCAGAAGAAAATAATATCCATTACCAGAAAAATCTGAGCCACTTTTACCTCAAGACATTGATAAAAACCATATGACAGATATCATCTGTCTGCATTTGTTTAAGTTGCACAGTGCCTGCAGGCAGGAAAGGCAGAAACTAAAACACTAGGTTACTGTTTTAGGCCATAGGACATATTTACACAGTACAAACTGAAATGCTTTGGCAACCGTCCAATTTATCACGGTAATTTGAACAGAAAAACTAGATATCATGTTTCTGAGACAAAAGTCTTTGGTTTGAGTTATAGAGAGTTGGTTTTCTAGGGTTAACCATACCATGTAGATAATCTTATAAAATATTCAAAATCAGATGGCATGTCTCTGATGGTGCGACTTCATCTGTACTCTACTCCCCTTCTATTATATTTTTAAACTTTGTTCATAAAGACATTGTTTAGGAATCAAAAGTACTAATGAAAGTATACCCTGTTATTATCTGTTGAGAGCAAAAAGGATTCTGTGGTGGCTGCACTCACAATAAACATGTTTACAAGTGAATATGCACCAGCAATTCACTCTTGAGTGTTCATTTAAACACACTGAAGGGTAGGAAGATTAGGAGAAGAGGCAGTTCTCAGAGGAAAGGAATAGAGACTACATAGAGAAGCACAAGCACAAAAGGTGAATAAAGCAAATTAAAAATTTTTAAAAACTGATCAAAGTTGGCAATTGTTTCTAATCCTTCTACATATGATTATGACTGACTTAAAGTTTTAATAATGTGCTCTTTGTATTGTATTGATTATCTACTATCCTTTCAGCTCATGTAAATTTGTATTCAATTATTAACTAAAAAATGTCTTTCATATTGTTTTCCTTTTTCCAAGTTACTTCTTATAAATATTTCATGTTTGTTGTCTAAGGAGACTTTCTCAAACTTTTGCCATAAATTAAAACTAATATATAGTTATATATATATTATATATATATATAATCAACAGAAAGGGGAAAAAACATCCCAGCGATGCAAACATTTGTTTCCCCATGATGAAAACTGAGTTACTGAAATTCTATTACAAACAAGTGGTATTTTTACATGGGCAATCGGTTCCTCTCTAAACACGATTCAGCTTGCAGGAGAAACGGGGTAACCTTAAAGCACTGGTTTCAAAATAAAGCCATGTAACCATTGTATATGTTCAGTAGTTCATCACAGCAGACAGATATACCAATTTGGAAAGAATATTCCATACTAGGTCTTTTCTCCTATACATCAACTCACTTCAGAGCCTTCAAAGAAAAAATACCGCTAGGATATTTTATTTAAATTGGGCTTAAGTGTGAAGTGAAATGAAGCATACCATTGTAAAAATTAAAATTGAAAAACAGGGCCCAGCGTGGTAACCTAGTGCCTAAAGTCCTTGCCATAAATGCACTGGTTCTAATCCCGGCAGCCCCACTTCCCATCTAGCTGCCTGCTTGTGGCCTGGGAAGGCATTCAAGGACAGCCCAAAGCCTTGAGATCTTGTACCTGTGTGGGTGACCTGGAAGAGGCTCCTGGCTCTTGGCTTCAGACCGGCTCAGCTCCAGCCATTGCAGCCGCTTAGGGAGTGAATCAGCAGATGGAAGATCTTCCTCTCTGTCTCTCCTCTCTGTATTTCTGACTTTCTAGGTAAAATAAATCTTAGAAAAAAACAAAAACTGAAAAACAAAATAATTAAGGAGGAAGTGGGGGAAGGAAATGCGGGTAGGAAGGAAGATATTGTGTGTGGTATCACTGCGTTCCAAAATCCTTATGTATTGTGAATGCATGAAGCTTGTTTACTTTATCTAAGTGAAATATTAATTTTTTAACTTAGCTCTTTTCTTTAGTATGTATTCCCTTAAGTAATAACAAGTATCGTGTTCTTCTTTTATTCAAAACTTTGAAAGAATCATTATTTCTGTAAAACATAATCAATATCTTATTTCTCAGATTTTATAATGGCCAGCCTCTTACCACCCTACAGATTCCAAAAGTCAGAAATATGACTTTCCAATATGAAATTAACCATTCTTAGAGGAACTCCACTGGGATTTCATACACGTTTGTTTTGAGTGTCTTCTCATTCCCAATGATCTTTCCAAAGATCATTTCTGTGCATGAAATCTTTCACACAAGTTTCCACTAATGGAATTCATTTTCTTTTTCATTTACTTTGTGATACAGTTCCATAGGTTCTGGGATTTCCCCTCCTTACCCTGCAAAATCTCCTCCCCCCACTGATTTCCCCTATATTATTACAATATCATAGTCCTTTAAAAACAGTCATAAATTCCTCACTCTCCTATTTAAGTGTATCCTGACATGTAGGTATGGACAATGGCAGAGAGTCCCACATCCCATTGCCATGATGCATTTAACACTTCCATTGGGAGTCCATCTTTGATTTGGAAGGAGAGATGCTTACATTTGGGTAGGATAGTCTGTTATACAGTTCCTCTAGATGACTAAATGCACTCCATGGAGTATTTCGCATTCTCTTTTTTAGTGGAATGCACATATGAACAATCTGTAACTATTAGTTGGTCCAAATATACTTCTAGGTTCTTAAAAACACAAGGGCTATGTTTAAAATCACAGATATATAAGGGAAGAATTCTCAGAAAAAATACAGATTAATTTTTGCAGCTTTAAATATAGAAAACCTTAGTATCCAATACTAAATCTAATATGCTGAGTAAACAAGGTACTTAGGGATAAAATCAGGTGAAATTTCCATTAAGGGTTTATTTTAAAAAACAGTTTATTTATTTGAATGGTGGAGTGACAGATAGTGAAAGATCTTCTCTCAGCTGGTTCATTCCTCAAAAGGTGGAAATTTCCAAGCTGGAACAGATTGAAGTTAGAAGCCAGACATTTGTGTCAGGTCTGCCAGGTGGATGTATTGTTCCAAGCAGCTGAGCCATCCTCTGCTGCTTTCCCAGTAGTGTTGGTAGAAAACTGGATTGAAAATGGAACAATTGTTAATCTGTTTGCTGATATGGAATGCTGGTGTGGCAAATAGCAGCTTAATGCACTGTTCTATAATGCTTTTCCTTCCTTAAAGTCAACAGTGTAGAAATCTTTGGTTTCAATTATGTAGGGTAGGTTAGTGTGATGCAAATAACTCTATAACTGAATGGGACACACAGAATGAGGTTGCATTTGTGTAATGAAATGATTTTCTGTGGGTTTAGACTTATGTATTCAGTCTCAAAGAGATTATAGTCTATTATTTTAAATTGTTACCAGGAGTAAGCCTTTAAGGAAATGCTTCATGAAGAAGGTAGTGTTTGAATTTTTCCTTGAGTTTGTGTACGGAAGTCTATATATACACAATTTCTGAGTGTGGTACTCCTCTATCGCTAATGATTCCTCTGTCTCATCTACTTGGACACAAGCTCACATCACCATTCCATCTCTCTTGCTTTTTACAAGAGGATATCCCTTTCATTAATGACTTTGTTTTGTTTGTTTGTTTTTCATGACTGGACCTATCAGAAAAATGTAGTCAAGTTGGATAATCTCATTGGTGCTAAGTCTGTATTTCTTTTTATCAGTTCATTTAAATATGACATTATCTTTCTCATGGTTTGTCTGCATAATCACCGCCACAGAAAATCATACACACAGAGCAGCCTGTGTGTTTTTATAACAAGCATATAATTTGTGCAAGAATTTGACAAATACAAGTTGTTCATCTTAGTTAGCTGCTGCATAAGTGTTTTTAGTGGTTACCTAATATGACCGAACCTCAGCTTTATATTTGAACAATAAATGTAAATAACAATAAGGTTCTGTGATTACAAAAAATTCTTGTTTGGACCTTAACACATGTAAACTTCCTATTCCATTTGTAGTCTATCTCTGCTGAAGCAACTTATTTGTCTGTAGCTCAAGGAATTATAAGGAATTATACGTTTTTTTCTGAATATTTTTTATTGTGAGTGAGCCTTGGCTAGAAAGCTATTTCTCACAACTTGGAAAAAATGGCTGTGAATTGGGACTACATTTTATTTGAATGACAATTAGTAGAAATGTGGAAACATTTTGGCAGCTAAACTTTATATTTCTTTGCCATCTAGGAGCCTAAGTTGCCAGAGGATCACCTTACACAAAAATCTCTTCTTCTCCTTTGTTTGTAATTCTATTGTGACAATCATCCACCTCACTGCAGTAGCCAACAACCAGGCTTTAGTGGCCACGAATCCCGTAAGTGCAATGAAAAGCCTTTTGGTTCCAGGGTTACTTAAGCAAGAGAGGGGAAAAGACACTCTTGGGGTGGGTTTGTTATGGTAAATGCATTATGTGTGTAACTAAGCACAAATTTTTGCATAGTTATGATTTGATATACCAAAGAATATGTTACCATAACAGAAATAAATATTTCTCAATATTCCCAAAAAGCAATACTTTTCTTTGCTTTGTTTCTATGTGGTATACCTATCTTCAGCTCCTTTGTGGATGTAGAATCATGCTGCTGTTGGAACAGTGTTTATAACAACATAACATCTATCCAATCCAGGGAAAAAAATCAATCAAAGCAACAAAATCTGGGCCAACATTGTGACCTAGAGTGCTAGCCTACCGTTGCAACACCACAACATGCCATAACAGAGCACTGGTTCAAATGTTGGCTGCTCTGCTTCCTACACAGCTTTCTGCTAGTGTACATGAGAAGGCAACAGATGATGACCCGAGTTCTTGGGGCTCTGTTAGTCATGTGGGTAACCAGGATGGAGTTCCTGGCTCCAGAATCCAGCAGGCCCATTAATGGGTATTGTGGCTATTTGGGGAGTAAACCAGTAGATACAAGAACTCTTTCTTGCTTTGGCCCTCTCTCAATGTCATTCTTTCAAATAAATAAATTTACTTTATTTTAAAATAATTGCATATACTTAGGAAAAATATAAACACAAGACACATAAATTAAACTGTATTTTGTTTCAGGCTGACTGTAAAACAATAAAATGGGAAAATAATGAATTATACATTCTCTACATAATACTCAACTTTAGCAACAAAAACATTAAAAGGTTAAGAGATTGTATCAAGTATCCATTGTCTCAATGAACAAGTATATCATTTTTTCTTCTAAATCATGTTTCTAAGGCATTATTTTATTTTTTCTATAAATGTATATATTTTATGTAAGCCATCTGCAAATGCAGCTCTGCTTGAATGTAATATCTGCATTTATGAAAGAAAGATTCAAATTCTAAAAAATGGTCTGCTTTCACAATGTTTGTAGTGAATATATAGATATACTAGTTTTAGAGACAAATTTCTGTGTTTGAGTCCAGTGGTTTTTTAAGATTAGGCTATCAGAGAAATCAAAGGAAGGAATTGTTACCAATGGGTCAATAAACAACACTCTCATGTGTACTTTATATGTGTTTTTAGGGTAGTTTCCAAAGTTCCAAAATTCCCTGCATTGTTTGCACATGTGCATCCGGATGGTTTAATCTTGTATATGTTCCACTCTACGGTCACCGGGTTAGGAAACACACTGGGGTATAATTAGTAATATAAAAAACTGGCCAATGTCCCATAATTTTAGAGTGAATTTCTCCAAGGCCAAGAGATTCAGTGTTTTGTGACAATACAGTCTAAATTTGGTATTTCTAAATAAGGAAATTGTATTTAATACATAAAATATAAACTGTAACACATTTTAGCACCATCTTGGAAAAATTCTTTGTTCATTTAATCAATGCCCTACAAGAAATATCTTTCCAAAAATCTCTAAATGCTTATCATAATGGTTTGTAGATTAGTTTCTAATTGAAATAAAAATCTGAAGTTCAATTAGATCTGAATACCTAAAAAACATACAGAAAAATCTGAAGTTGAAGTCTATCATATGATGAGTAACTCAGTCATATCTTTGAAATGATTTGAATACAAAGATGTATAATTTAAATTTAATGTTTTATATTCTTTGCATATACCAATAAAGGACCATACTTTTCACTTATACTTCAACCAGGAGGAACTGTGTGTAGTAGTAACAAACTTGGAGTTGCAGGAATTGTATGTAGGGTATGACTTTGGTGCTATACAAGTGTTAGTAAATCACTTAAAAATTTCTCCATTATTCAATTTTTTCTCTATAAAATATACAACAATGATAATGCATATCTTACAGATTTACTGCAAAGATTAAATACTTGTATAAATACTTGTATAAATACAGATTTACTGCAAGGATTAAATACTTGTATGAACAATTTTAAATTGTTGCTATTTTATTGGAAAGGCAGAGTGAGATATCTAGATCATGGCTTCCCAGCTGAGCCCAAAGACCCAGATACCTGAGTCATGCCTGCTGCCTCTTAAAGGAGCATTGCCAAAAAGTCTGGATCAGCAGTGGAAAGCTAGGGTTCAAACTGGACACTCCAGTAAGGGATGTGGGAACCCAAGTGACAGCATCTTAATCACTAGCCAAATACTTAACCCGATACATTTTTAAGCAAATTTGATGCAATTATTATTAATATTAATTCATGATAATCTAATATTTATTTTCTTCTGGCCTTTCATTTCTACTTTTATTGGAAATATTTATTTAAAATATAATGGTATTTTCCACTAAGTATTATTAATTTTCATTTTCAGACAGGAAATTATAGCTGATGAGGATAATTTGCAATGTATTTCTTAGGAGCATTTTAAATGCATTCTCTTTGGGAAGAGAATAAATTAAATCTCTTATTTCTTTATATTTAATCTGTTTTTTAATCTTCTTGCCTCTGTAAGGATAAAAAAGAAAGGAATACTTGGGAAAAATGTGAAAGAAACCTATATATTTTTGTTCCTTTAACCTACATAAAACTCTCAAAATTCATATTTGGATAGGATATAGGGGCTCATTAGATTATTATTTGATAAGTGTTTTGCATGGGTGACCTGTTGTATGTAAGAGTTTTAAGTAGTTGAGCATTTCGAGTGAAATGTTTTAAAAAATTATTCTTTTCCCCACCAATATGCAACCATCTAGGAACTCATGATGGAATATTTAAGCTATGTATAAACAGATATAAAGTCACTTGTATGTGAAACTTTGTTAATTACAATTATATAATAAAATCAAACATAGTTAAAAACATACATTCACTAAATGAAGGTAATTTGGGTTTATACACTGTTTTCTGGAGATAAAGTCCTTTAAGTCTATGCTGAAAACTAGCATAGATAGATGAGCTGTTAGTATACAAGAGGGTATCAAGACAGAAAACTCCATATTTCTTGAGCTAGACAATGGTTTAAATATAAACAACTAAATATTGCCCCCGCCCCAACCCTTTCTTCCCCCCGCAGGTTAGCTGTAAAGTTTCCCAGTTCATTCATCTTTACCTGATGGGCTGCAACTACTTTTGGATGCTCTGTGAAGGCATTTACCTTCACACTCTCATTGTGGTGGCTGTTTTTGCAGAGAAGCAACACTTAATGTGGTATTATTTTCTTGGTTGGGGTAAGTGTCATGACACACATCAGATGACTTAACTGACTGAGAAACCTTTTTAGCATTTACGTTCCCTTTATGATAAAATTAGTTTACTAAGAAGGATTTTAAAAGACTATTACATAATTTATTTCTTATCACTGCTTTAAACTGAAATATCTAAAGCAAAGTATCACCAAATTACACTGTTGTCAGTAGTTATAATTTCAATTAATAGTGCACCATGGGTGAGTACTTAATGGCTAAGACAATGGAATTAGAATCATGAGTTTTGGACACAGCTGTCAAGTACTTTTGAATCTGCTTTTTAGTCGTGTTTATAGTTCCTGAATCTAACCAACTTTGAAATTCTATCTTAAAAAATTGATCTTTTCTGAAAAGAAAACTATCATTTTACAGTAAGACTAGAGGGATTAGAAAAACAAATTTGGGAGATTTTTTTTTTCTCTAAGCATTAATCACAAAGCAGAGACACACTATGGCATAAAGGAATAACTTCTAAGTAATAAAGCAAAGTACAAAATGCCAAAAATGAATTCAATAGGACTAGAATATAGAATCAAACAGAAATTTAACTTATATATCTACAGTACAGGTACACATAGAAACATAGAAGTATGTAGGAAGGTCATTTCAAATTCATGGAAAATACATATTATAAAGAATTATGCATCAATCTGAAGCATCTTTTGCTACCAAGCTCATCTTTGCAATTCATTTTCCAAAAACTTTTTGAAATACCTTTATATACATGTACAACAATCTTTGGCCCATCTTGTTTTACTTTAGAAAGCATTTTTTAAAATTTCCTGTTTGAAAGTTCTGATTTAGAATGTTGGAAAATGCAAAATTCTTATTATAAAAACCATCATTTTTTCTTCTGTTTCCTACGTAAGAATTTGCATTTAATCTCCCGCTATTCTGTTGATGGACATTCTTACCAGTCTCAACTTTTCCTCATATATCATCCAGTACCAAAAATTGGTACTTATCTTAAGCCATACCGGCTAGGAGGGACATTCATAAAATTAAGCTCTGGCATCTGCCAACACAAATAACTTATAAGAAAATGTACACAAGTACATAAAACATAAATAGTCATTCATCATATTTGTTACTTCACCATAGAGTTAATATTTGCTCAATAACTTGGAAGTCCGTCAGTCTTGCTTCTACACTGACTTTGAAGTTTCACATTTCATGACATAATTTAGGAATTTCAACTGTAAGGAAATTTGCCTGATTATTTATTTCTTTGATATCATTAGGATTTCCACTGATTCCTGCTTGTATACATGCCATTGCCAGAAGCTTGTATTACAACGACAAGTAAGAATCTCTCTTTATGATTTAAATTGCAACTAAATACAACAAAAATCTTAAAGATGGTTTCTTGATTTTATCCCCTAGTTGCTGGATCAGTTCTGATACCCATCTCCTCTACATTATCCATGGCCCAATTTGTGCTGCTTTACTGGTATGTAATTAAAATTCTCTTATTCTCATTAGTACTGGTATTTAAACTTTGCTTCCTGAATTGTCCTGCCTATTATATCTGTCACAATCAGTACTTGGAGCAGGGTTTCATGAAGCTGTTGTGGCTGAGGGGTGGTTCTGTGAGTTTAATGTATTTACCAGCTGCAATTTAGTGTTTATGTTTATATTAGAAAACCATTAAGGCTATTTTTAAAAATGAGTAATTGTTAAGTCATTCTGGTGACTGATGCCTACATACAAATGGCATTTGTACCTCCTTGATTTTGGTGATCTTAAGCAATTAAAATAGTCACTCTTTGCCTCAATCTTTCATTTGTAAAATAGATAATACAGCAAGTTTAATAAAAGTGACATCTAAAGATTTTTTTAAATTAAAAAAGTATCAAATGTGCTTAAACATAAAAAAGTACTTAGTTTGAAAGGTAGAAAACACACAGCAAGTGTCACATTTCTAGTTTGTGCCTGACCACACAAGACAAAAAGCTTACAAATCAACATTCTATTTCCTTTATGCTTTATATGAAACTTTTAATGTATCACACTGCACAGTGTAGTGAATTTTCAAAGGCAAAATGCCTCATTGCTTTTCTGTTTCAACAGCGAGTCACTATTTTTAAGCTATATTCAGAGACTGACTATTTTGCAGTCTGTCCTCAAAGAGCCAGTACTGAATCTTGGCTCTGTGACTGTTGACTGTGGATTGCAAGTCAAGTTTTCTTTTATTTTGCTGTGAGCCTTTTGGGACTTACTTTTCTTTTTTTTCTCTACAATGATGAATAATACGAGTGCACATTTCACAAGGTGTTACAAAGATTAATATTCTCAATAAAGTGATTAGCACAATGTTTCAAATGGGGAAAACGTTTTAAAGTTTTATGCATTTTAATCTCTGTATGATACTATGGTTCCATTTTGAGCAGAGTTCAAAGAAACTGAACAGCATTTTTGGGTCACCTAGGAGCTTTCAAACAAACCCAAGGCATTATTTTATTATGAACGATCCAACTGCAAAAGTGGATGTGCTGTTCTAATTCTTGCATCAAAAATTCAATTGAAAGCTCACGGCAAATGTAGATTGCACCAGCTGCTAGTGCCATCTGAGAGTCTAACCACAATCAGTTTCTTTCCACTCACACTTCCTCTATCAATTTAGGCAGGATGGTATTGGAGACACTTCAGCATTGTTCAGTTACTGCTTCACAGAAGCTGAGAGTGGTTACATCTAATTCAGATTAATGGAGAGATATTTTGATCATTCCAAGGGCATACTTAAGGAATTCCCAGTCATTGTGCGTGTGTGTGAGGGCTTCCAAGAATTCACTTATGTCGATGTCACCCATTTGTTGGTGTGACACATCATTGACGTCATGATATGAAAACGTCTTGTGTATATAGGTATACAAATTTCTGGGGGTTGGGGTAAAAATAGGCTTCTTTTCCTTTTAAACAGTTTTGCTTTCAAAATTGGATTATATCATGTGAAAAAATTCTTATCCTATTTTTGGATAAAATTAATGGTAGTAGTTATAAAAATCAAGTAGCATGCAAAGATCGTAATTCTGAAAAGCATTTTTTGTGGGAGATAGCATGCAGTAGATAGTGTGAGGACTATCCCTTGTCAGTTTTTGTTTCTAGTTTTGCATGTTAAATAGATTTGCGACTTTAGAGAAGCTGTGTGCATGTAAACTACAGCATTTCTACTATTTCGACTATGTCTTGTTAATTTATGATTTATAGTTGTTTGTTAGTATTCTAAAATACTCTCTATTATAGTGTTGTAAGGACATAAGGACCTTCATGTTAATGTGTGTAAAGGGGGGATAGATTTAATGTACGAAATAGACACAATTCTAAGAATATAATGATACATCCCACACTCTTCCCTTCTCTTCCCTTTCATTTACATTAAAAATGCAAGCAAGTAATGCTCTACTAAATAAAGAATCCAACAAGCAAAAGTGAAAAGACCCTAGTTCAGTTATAATGCAGGAAGGGGCTATAAACAATATTCAAATGTAAAGATATCAGTCTCATTCAAAAACAGTAAATTCCATATTTAGTCATAAGTTTTAAAATAGTCATGAATGATCAGGAAAGGAACACAAGAAGTTTGGTGAAATAACAGCTGAAATGTTGAGTTGTCATATTTCCTTTTTATACTTGTTGAAACAGCTTATTTTGCTTTTGTTATTTATCACATTCCCGTGTCTGTAAAAATGTTCCTTTGTCACTTTGCTATCACTGTAATAGTGAGCTCTATATTTATGAAGCAAATGTCACATTAAATTCTCTAAGAATAGCAGTTGAATGATTTTATGCTTCATTATTCTCAATACATGCCTTAAATACTCTATTATTTGTGTATTTTCATGTTAAGTGAGTTACTTCCAATATTTTTAATTTTATTAAGTTATGTGAATATATAGATTATATATTGATTTGTAGTTGGATCTGTAAGATTACTGAATAAAGGTCAGATGCCAAAAATTAAGAAAAGAAAGAACGAAAGAAAGAAAGAAAGAAAGAAAGAAAGAAAGAAAGAAAGAAAGAAAGAAAGAGAAAAAGAAAGAGAAGGATTAGCCCTCGTTCGGCTCCTTTGGAGTTAAGGCACATAATCCTATGTGAAGCATCAGTACTGGGCCTCACATAGATTAAAAATAGACAAAGGTTGAAAAACACAAACCAGGATGAATATAAGAAAGAGACAAAACAGCACTGAGAGAGAGATAGAAAACAGAGAAAGAAATGAATCCAATTCAATAGGACTATTGATTTTTTGGATTTTTATGTCATCCAATCAAAAGAAATGGTGTATTTTAAGAAAGGTTGTAAAGGCACAGGAAACAATAAATACACATTTTTTTTTTTTTTTACAAAATAACAAAGAGTCCTACAGAATGCCAAGTGATTTTAGCTTTGGATAATATACCGGGGTGACTATTAACTGGCTATGTTGCACGACTCGGTCTTCTATATGGACAAGGAATATTACACTGTTATTTTGGAGAATTGTTGTAATGATTATTGCTACATAAACATAGAGAGGATTAACCGAAAGATGAAACTGCTTATTATGGTGAAATATGTATTTGGAAATTATATAGTACATACAATTATAAAGTGATGCTTTAAAATAAAGTGGTTTTATAACCATCTGAAAAAATCTATAGGCTTTAGTTTAGGGAAAAGGGAAAGAAAATTAAAACTGCATGTTAAAAAAAATGAGCTTAGAAAAATACTCAAGTAGTTGCATGTTTCCCACAATACAATTTTATTTTTTCAAAGTTCAAATTCATTAACTTAAGTGCTTAGCAAATAAGCAAATCACAATTCTATATATATATAAATTCATAGAGGATATCAAAACCTTTATAAAAAATGCAATAAAAATAAATTTTGATGTGGAATTTTTTCAAAATTCATGCATTTTTATGAGATGTGTTTTCCATGAAATATAGAAATAGTTTGTATATAAAGTATTTAATAGAAGATATTTTAATATTGAAAATATCTTTATAAAATTGGAGATGCTTTAATAATATTTCTTAAACAATTTTATATGCGATTTTATTTTTTGTTTAGGTGAATCTTTTCTTTCTCTTGAATATTGTACGTGTTCTCATCACCAAGTTAAAAGTTACACACCAAGCAGAATCTAACCTCTACATGAAAGCTGTGAGAGCCACTCTCATCCTGGTGCCCTTGCTGGGCATTGAATTTGTGCTGATCCCGTGGCGGCCTGAAGGGCGGATAGCAGAGGAGTTGTATGACTACATCATGCACATCCTAATGCACTATCAGGTATGGCATTCGCATCAAGAATACAGCTTATGAAATTGGTCAGCAAATTGACATCTGGCCTCGGTTATTTCTGATTATGTAGACATTGGTTACAAGTGCTTGAAACTTTTCTTTTTCAAATTCAGAGGTTTGTATTTTTTTTTTCTTTTTCAGGGCCTTTTAGTCTCTACAATTTTCTGCTTCTTTAATGGAGAGGTATGTCAATTTTAGCCCTTGCTTCATTTCATATTTGTAATTTATTTTTTTTCCTTTGAAAAGTGAGATGCAATTATAAATTCCCCAGAAACAATTATTTTAAATTCCATTTTCATCAGAAAGCCAAATCATGGAGTCTGCTTTCATAAACGCAACCATCGTTCCAAAAGCTAAGTCATATTGGAGTTGTAGCCTTGGGAAAGACTGAAATATTCCAACAGTGACTTTTATTTGTTGAGTCTTTTGACCTATATTAGTGTAAACAATGTAACTACATAGAATCTCCCAACTAATCAGAAATGCTATTGGCTCACTTTACCCATTTCTCTTGCTTGCCTTCTCCACATTGTGGCCTTTGGAAAGTTTCTTTAGTGGATACAAAAAATTTTTAAAAATTAAATTGTTATGAAGCATGAGAAGTAATGTATAATTTAGAATATAATACATTAATTTGTACTCCGGAAATGTGACTTTGGATATTTATTTATTTATTTATTTATTTATTTTTATTTAGCTTGTCTTATTTGAGAATTTCAGGCATTTTGAAATGGGACCATATTTCTCATACTTATGACTAGTTTTATAGCTCATTGGCTTGATCTCTATTGATATTTATATATTCTTAATCTTCTTGACATATTTCAACCTGCAGGAGGATTTAGCAAAATCAAACTTTAGAAACCCAGAGCACAACTGAGTGACGTAGGGACAGTTGCTAAATGAGAGCCTTATCACAAAGCGGCTGGTGGGGACCATGTGGAACCAATTATCATTTTATGAGGATGATTCCTTTTTTTGGCATAAACTCAAATTTCAATTAAATTAAAATTATGCTACATTTTCATTATAATCTACACATTTTCATCCATTTATCGTAGGCTGTTGAATTGTCAGTCACATTTCAGTCCTAAAGGTTGTGCTTTCATGATTTTTTTTTTTTTTTTGCTTTTAGAAAATAAGACTGCTTTTCTAATGTCAATTGGAAGCGCAGATGGAGGATGCATGTGGGAATTAAACAATTTTGCATGCCTTGTAGGTTGTACAAAAGCAGTTATTGACACATCTCAAAGAATATGCATCGGATATAAAATGTACTTCTGAATTTACAGAAAATGATCTTACGTTTTAAAGTTTAATTTTCAAATATCAAAACCTAATCATTACCACAATATTTTATGACAGGCCCTGTGTGCAATAAATGCAGCAAGTCCTTTGAGCCCCAGAGATGGCACTTTCTTTTTGGCAATGTTATTTCTGAAAATGCTCAATTTTCTAGGTTGCATGTCTGTCTTTGCTAAGGAGAAATAAAAACTAAATTACTTACAGAAGTCTCACAAGATTTAATGTAAACTAGGAAATATAAAGTTTTTAGTAATTGCTTCACTTTGAGTAGATATTCAACCAGTCAAATATTAGGAATACATTTGAAATAACTCATTTAAAAATACATGTGCAAATGTGAACATTAGTCATATTAAATCAGAAATCTCAAATCAACCCTTTTATTAAGCAAGCATGCCAAGGGATTACCCCAGCTAATCCCTAACACTTTTGTTTCACTCTATCTCTGTAAGCAAAAGGGACACGGAACTTTGATCCTCTGCCATGTCCTAAGACAGAAAAATTTGGCTCTAGAAAATTAAAATGATACAAAAAACTTTGAGCTTGGTTGTTGCAAAATCCTTCAGTTCTTCACACATCTCTCATATCAGTTTCCTTTGTTAATCTCTAGAGATGCAAACCTTATTTAAGTATGATTCATTTCTCATCTGCAGAAACATTGTAATCCTTTTCTTCTTGTCCCACTGAATTTTAGGTTTTCCCACTCTAATAATATGAAGCAACAGCTGCCAAAGTCATTTTGTGTGATTCCAACTATGTCACGTACATCTAAAAATCATTTGCCCACACTTAATTTCCTCTTTGTTTTCCACGTTAGTTCCAGTGATTTGTCTTTTGCTTAATTACGTGTGTGTATGTTTCTACTCTCAGCTCTGATTTATTATTCTAGCCAAGAGTCTCTTGCTGTTATTTCTCACAGTGATTTGAATCACTGTTGCCTGGCAAGCACGCAGGCAGCTCTTGTCTCATCCTTAGTCCAGCACAGACAAAGTGTGCTCTGCTAACACAGCTGTCTAGGGACTCCCAGAATAAGAGTATATTTAATGCTTCAGGGTAGATCTTTTATAAAATGAATAAGGTTTTCTGAGAACTGATCTCACCTTGGAATATTTATATGAATCTCTATTAAGTATTTCAATTGATTTAGAGTAAAAAGGATGGGATAGCTTCTGGGCATGTAAAATCATACTGTTATTTTCTTAATAGTTTCTCTTACAACACTTTATACAGTATTCACAAATGAAAGACTGAAAAAATATTCACATACTTAACAATAGAAAAATATCTCTCCTCAGATTTTCCTCATTCTGGGTGTCGCCTTTAAGGTTCTATTGAATAGACAATATGCATTATGGGACACAGATGAAATTTGTAGCATCATTGTAGAAAGTAACATAAGCAAACAAGTCTATAATGTTTATATGTCTTTGATCAGATTTGTTTGCTTAAAAAGCAGGCCTGCAGCAGCTGGAGATGACCAATGTCATGTCTTGAAACAAAGTTGGGATCTCTCTGTGGGTAGCAAGGACTGAAGTATTGGAACTGTCATTTCCTGCCTTCCTGGGCGCACATGAGCAGGAAGCTAGACTGGAGATGGAACCAAATCTCAAAAGCCATGCACTCTAATTTGAAATGTGGGCCTCCCAAGCAGCATCCTAACAGCACCAAAAGACCTGGATCCAATTAGATTTATTTTTTTATTTAAAAAAAGAATACCCTAGAGTTCATGAAATTTATTTTCCATGGCGTTTCTGATGATTTTGTTCAGAGGGAGAAAAGAAGGAAATAGCATTAATCAAAAAAGATAAAAGGGGCAATATCATTATTCAAAGAAGATAAAAATTTTCACAGCTAATTTGCCTTTTAGACTTGAATTCAAGCTTTCGTTTTCAAGACTTTCCTAGAATCACAGCTATAATTCTACTTGTCACCATTACTTCATCATTAATGTAGTCTTTAATACAACGGTACATTTCACTTCCATTTAACCAGTTTCTACACTCAGTCAATTCAACATTTAGTAACAATGTTAGTAAAGCTTTATTAAACATAAAATAGCAGGATGAAAACTAATTCCCATACGATTTAGCTAGATGATTAACATTTTAAAAAATTTCTGTAGTGAAAATGCACAATTATAAATCATTCATTTATCAATTTTCTTGAAGATATTACATGTATAAATATTAACTTTAAATTGGTTTAAATATTTTATTTGGAGAATTCAGTGTTGGTAAACTAAATGGGAAGTAGAGCATATTTTTTTCTACAAGGACTTTTATATTTTAGGCAGATTAATGTGAATAGAACTTATTTCCTCCAGCTATTGCAATTGTGTATACAGAAATGAACATAAAACTGCTAAACTTTAGAGCAATATAACTTTATAAACTACATTGTTTGATTTTAATAATTTAATTATTTAATTATTGAGATATGCTAACTTAAAAACTCATTTTGAATTCTATTTTGACGAAGTTATTGACTGCATTTATTATTCCTTTTTTTCTAAATTTAAAAACAATGAAATAAAATAGTAAAACTTTGTGCTTCTTTCAAATGATAGTGCATAGGAGATTTGAATAGGCACTTGCAATAGCACAGGGAACTGCAAATATCCTGAGAATTTCTATTTGCTACTAAATTCTCCTAATTTGGAAACTTTCTTTACTTAGCTAAATAATAAATAAATAAATAAGCTCATCTTAAATATTTAATGTTGATATGTGCATAAGAATAGAGTGATTGCAAAGTTGAGAAATTCTTTATAAGCAGTATAAATTTAAACAATTAGTAGTAGTAGTATGTTTATGGTACATAGATTACTGGAAAATTGCTTCTAGAAAATTAGATTCCCTCTGGGACGTAATCCAAGATGCAAGGGCAGTGAGTGACTTAACGAATATCAATCAAAGCAAGACACATGTTGTTCAGACATAGTTCAGGCTAGAGGGATTTGATTAAATATACTTGTGACTTAAAAGCAGACCTCCCCAAGTCAGTTTGCTTATTCATCAGTTCGAGAATGTTCATGTTTGACTATTCTCATGTGTGCTTACTGACTTTATTTGAAGGAATTCACCCTGCTGTCTTAAGTCCAATTGAAACCAAAGTCACATGGGCCATGTCTAGCCTTGAACTCAAGCTCCAATAAGAGAGAGAGGAATCATTTGATTAAAAAATCTGTTAAGCAGAGAACATTCCAAGTATATGAAAATGGAGTGGGGACATTTCCAAGCTTCTTTTTTGCAACCTTTGCCAGATTTGTAATTATTTAATCAAAGACTTCCTTTCCTCCAATGAAATAAATGTCTGAGGAAAAAAATAGCTTGCTCTTTTTTTCCCCTCAGAACATGACCCATGGATGGCATATTATCATCTCCCAATAACAGTTTGCTGTTGCTGTTAATTATGATGGTCATGATCTTATTAATAATTTGTAGCCCTTATGTGTCTAATATCTTTGTTTTTAATCTTTTCTCTTTCCTATTTTCACTAATTATCATTTCATTCCATTTGTAAAGATATTGACATAAAATAGATCTGTACATGCAGTCTTGTAAGGTGGTGATCTAGTTAATTCTTTTTAATAAAGTAAGTGCATTTACATTATTAACACTTTCAAGCCAATGCACGAAATGAAAAACATAAACATCTCCTATCAGTTAAGATTCTGGTGAGGATGCCCACTTCCTATATGAGGGCACTTGAGTTTGTGTCTAGGTTTCCACTCCAGATTACAAATTCTTGCCAAACATGCACCCTGTGAAGCAGCTATTGTTGGCTCAAGTATTTTGGTTCCTGCCACCCAAATGTGAGAGCTTGATTGAATTACTGCTTTTTGATTTGTGCATTTTGAGAATCAACAGGAAGAGGAAGAGAGGAAGCTCTATGTCTATTTCTTACTCTCTGCCTCTTAAAAATTAAAGCAATCTAAAAATACAGAGAATTACAACATGTTTGCAAATGTGCAGATTATTTACTTAATTTTAGACTAATAAAGCAATGAAGCAATATTATAAATCATATCAATTTCTTAGGAAAAGTTTTCTACATAACATTTGATTGTGCTTTAGATAAAATCTCTTCGTTTTAATTCATGAACGTTCCTATTCTTTGTTTTTTTATGATTAATAGGTTCAAGCAATTTTGAGAAGAAACTGGAATCAATACAAAATCCAATTTGGAAACAGCTTTTCCCACTCAGATGCTCTTCGTAGTGCATCTTACACGGTGTCGACCATCAGCGATGTTCCAGGTTTCAGTCATGATTGTCCAAGTGAACACTTAAATGGAAAAAGCTTCCACGATATGGAAAATGTTGTGTTAAAACAGGAAAAGTTGTATGATTTAGTTATATGAAAATACAGAGATCATTGACTAGTGCCATTTCTGAATCAAGGACTTGGATCCACATCTACACAGCCAGAAGACATCAGTGTTATACGGAATTCTAGAGAGTCATAAAAAAAAAATCCGTACAGGAAATCAGATATGTTAGGACAGATGTTTAACAACCATCTCTTGGTGTGCAAATCATTATGATTAATAATGTTAGCCAGTAAAAATACTGCCACTATGACTGAACTCCAGCTACCAACTGAAAACTAGCAAATATGAACTTGGAAAAAGATAAGCACAATCAACCCTCATGTGTTGGGTTGAGCAAGCTCCTGCACACCTGCATCAATTTACTTCGGTCTAACTCTAACCTTATTGCCTACAGAAATCCAAATAGATCCTAAGCACATGGAGAAAAATGAACATTTTTTGATTGTTTGTATTTTAAATCTTCATCTTATCTTCCTGGGTGTAGTATTTTCTTTCCCTAAAAATATTCCATCCTTTTTTTTTTCTTTTTTTGCAATTAACATGTGAAATGGACTAGACAGAGTTAATGATTCCTACTAGTTTATCCTCTTTTAAGAAGAGCAGCTGAGCACAATTGCTTTAAGCTGCTCCTTTGCTGACTCATCACAAGTTTTTCCTGTGGCATATCCACTTTCAAAACTTGGTGAACAGGATGTGTAATATATACCCCTAATTCTTTCTCATTAGGGAGACATCCTGGTTATATTACAAAACACCTTCTCAGTTACTTCCTAGCTTGCTACACAAGTGGGAACAGGGATCAGTTTCTCTGTTCTTGTCAACAGAAATTGTGTCCCTTCCATTTCTATTGTATAGATCGCTTAGCAATCATTTTACATGAAGGAGGTCAACGAAGGATTTCTTATTTTTTTGAGAAACTGTAAAGTAGTAGTGAAAAATGAGCTTGTGAATACTGCATTACTATTTTGTATCCTCACATCAAATACATGAACTCTAGGTGATTCTTAGAAGGAAATACATAATGCAATAATGTACACATGCTAATATCTGATACTGTGTCTGGGCTGATTTTATAATAAAAAATAGAGTCTGGAATTCTATATTTGGTAAATATTTTAAAGACAACCAGATGCTAGCATCAGAAATCTTCTTGAAGTCTAAAAAAATAGAAACATCCTTTATAAGATAGAAAATATTTATTTAAAAAATGCAATACTCACTATCGTATTGGTACATTAGTTTTGGTGATTTAAACCTTAATAATAGGTGAGCTAGAAATATTTTTTCTTTGACTTTTAAGGTGAACTACTACTTTCATCCAGAAATTTTAAACAACTACTGCAATAGATGACGATCTGTTACTCTATCAATTTTACCGTATTAAAATATTCCTTGACTAACCTTTTCTTTTATAAATATAATAAAAGTCATATTAGAAATGCTGTAGGTTTTCAAAGAAAAAGAACCAGAAAATACAATATCATAACGTTTTCATATTTTAATAGAGCTGCTGTACATTTCAATGCAAACTTCTGAAAGGCTTATACATATTATTATGAAATAGTTATTTTCAGTCATTTATAAAACCATTAATTTAAGATGAAAGAAAGCTTTGCAAATTAATTAAAAATAACATTTAAAATGAATTCAGTTTCTTGGATTATATTTGCACTGAAATCTTTAAAGAGCAATGAGTTAAACTAGTAAAAGTCAATTTGGGGAGACATTATGTGTATGTGTTTTTGAAGTGTGTCAGTCTGCTTAAAATTAATTACTTAGTCTTAAGTTGGTTATTAAACTGTCATAAGCTGATGAGTTAAGAAGTCAACTGAAATTATCTAGGAAGATTACATAGATTAGTGAGAACTGAAATTACCTGGTGTGGTTATTCCGTTTATAAGGTATCTACACAACGCAGATATATTAATTTAGTTTCAAATTTATGAATGCCACAATGAACTGTTATGAACTGGAGTGCAGGCTGTTCCAGACATACAGTTGTCTAAATCATGCAAAAAAATTTAGTAAATTCATTTTTCAATTATTTATTATTATTAAAGGAACAATTCAAATTCTTTGGTGACAGTGTTCAGGTATTTCAGCATTCTTCCAGAAAAAGTGTCAAATTTTAACCACATATGACATTGGAAAATGCTGAATTGCCAGCAAGCATTATATTTCAATGATATTGTAATTTCTAGTTTTTTGTGTGTGTTTTTTCTATATTCAGCTTAGGTCAGATTTCTTTTGGCATAGGAGTCCATCTTTTGTAGTCTTCAGGAGTACCAGGCGCGCTGTGATTATCAGTGTTATTTTTTACCCATATATTTTTAGCAGCAATATTTTTAAATGTTACAGCTGAAGTTCTAGTTAAGATCTTTGTATCCTCCTCATAAGGACAAGTAAATATAATACTTTTTAGAGCAAATTTGTTTGGCATCTAAGCATTAAATTGGAGCATTTCTAGTTTTCATTTTTTCTGCAATTGTTAGCAAATGTCACACCCTAATATTATCAAAACTCTGATCTGTCATTCTTTTCCAGTTAGTTTAAAATGTACTTACTCTCAAAATACCCATTTTGTAATTTAGTGATTGTTTTAATGTAACCAGTGTACATAGAATTAGAGGTAGTAGTTGTAGTCCTGTATTTATTGCTTCTAATTTTAAATGTGAAGATTTTTTTGGTTTAATCTGCTAATAAAAATCTGATTTATCTGTAAAACACATTCAACATATTCTCATCAATTATAACAACTCATATTATGCCTGTATAATGTTTCTTTTACTTGATTTTAAAGAAATATTAAAAATTTGAGTTCTCAAATATACAGGAATGTTGAATAATCTAATTTATAAAGTTAATACTTACACTGATTAGTGAGATACTCCTTAAAATTAATAAATATACTTTGCTGCCCTCATTGAAGTCTTCAGTAAATCAATAATTGAACTGAATAAATCAGTTAACGAAAAATTACTAACTGCCTATTCTATATGGAAAAACTTGAATGGGAGGCAGTGACCTAAAGTTCTTCAAGCATCATGTGTTGCTTCCAAGGGTGCACCATCGCAAGAGGCTGGATCAGAGGCAAATTCCTTCTTAGGCAGAGAGAAGTCTAATGCCCAAGAACAGGACAATATTCAGAAACTCAGCTCCCTTTTCCATGAATACACTTCAAAACATTTTTTTAAATCCCTGAACTTTTTGAAGATTTTTCATATGCACGGTTATCTCTTTTTTATATCTCTGTATCAATATTAATTTTAAGGACTTCAGTACTTTTTCTCAGAGTGTCTCCTCATTACAAACATAATAAACTAAAAAAAAGCACTTGATTAAAAATTGCAACTATCACCAGACTTGATCTGGTTATCTTTAATAACATTTGAAATTTTACTTGAAAGGCAGAAAGACAGACATCCACAGGCTTGTTCTCTAAATGCTTGCAAACTAGAGTTGGACTTCCAAAATCGGAGGCAGTGACACAAGTACTTAAACCGCCACTTGTAGCTTCACAAGAGTGTATAGTAGCAGGAGGCTGGATCAGAAGTAGAACAGCTGAAATTCTAGCCAAGTGGTATCAACCTATGAACCTAATGCCAGCTTCTGGTTTATTCAAATAGCCATAAAAGAGAATTAATTTATGATATAGTACCCCTTAAGTTTGATTCCAAAACTGGAACCATATTATAATAATTACAAGCTTCAGTGAGACATATTTCATATATCATATAACATACCCATTAATATGGTTTCTAGTATATAGAGACTAATGTGTTCATAATACTTTCACAGATACATGCAACCAGGACCTGTCAAATTTATTGTATTTTTATACAATAAAAATTATTGTGTAAGAATACAACATACTGTATTTTAAAAAAAGATTTATTATTATTATTTTTTTTTTGGAAAGGCAAATCAGTCTTAGACAAAAGGAGAGACAGAAAGATTCTCCATCCACTGGTTCACTTCCCAAATGGTCACAATGGCCTGAGCTGAGCTGATCCAAAGCTAGGAGCCAGGAACTTCTTTCTGGTCTCCCATGTGGGTACAGGGTGCCAATGCTTTGGGCCATGCTCTACTGCTTCCCAAGTCCTAATCAGGTGGGAAAGTGGAGCAGCCAGGATATGAACTAATGCTCATATGGGATCCCGGTGCTTGCAAGGTATGGATTTAGCCATTGAACCATCATGTTGGGCCCAGAAACTGTGTACTGTTTAGCTGCACAATTTTCTTCCCATCCCTAGGATCCAGTGCCACCAACCCTTCCTTCCTTCCTTATTTCCTTCCTTCCCTTTCTTCTTTCCTTCCTGCCTTCTTCCTCCCTTTCTTCCTGCTTGCTTTCTTTCTCCCTCCCTTCCTCTTTCCCTCTCTCCTTCCTTCCCTTCCTTTACCTCCCCTTCCTTCCTTTCATTTTCTCCATCCTTCCTTTTCTTCATCCTTTCTTCTCTCTTTCCATCCTTTCTCCTGCCCAACCTTCACATTCCTTCTTTTCTTTCTCTTTATTTTTACTGAAATGTGTTTAGCACTTCCGATAACATGTTGAATAGAAGGACCAACATCTAACATGGACACTGGACATGTCCCAGCTTCTCCACCTCCAATCCAGCTCCCTGCTTATGTCGTAGGAAAGCAGTTGAGGATGGTCCCAGTCCTTGAGTGCCAGCACCCATTTGGAAGACCCACAAGATGCTCCTGGCTCCCTGCTCAGCTCTAGCTATTGTAGCCATTTGGGGAATGAACCAATGGATGAAAGATTTCTCTTTGTCTCTCCTTGCCTCTGTAAATCCACCTTTCAAATAAATATATAGCAATTTTTTTAAAATGTTGAATATAGTGGCAACAGCTGACATCTCTATCTAGTTCCTGATCTAAGTAAAAAGGAAAGTGTCACTAGCCTTGGTATTGGCATATACTGGCCTGGTAACATATGAATATATATCTTCCAGAGTGATACATACTTTGGCCTTAACTTAAAGTAGAACACTAGGATGAACACCAGAATAAAACATAACTAAGCAATAGGCAAAATATATTTATGGTAAAGTAAGAGTCTCTTATTAATCTATTAGCAAAAATTTTTGAAACTGAAAGTTCACATTAAAGTACTAAATAAGGGACGCTCCAGAGCTTCCCCCCCCAACACACACACACACACACACACACACACACACACACACACACACACACACACACAAATTGGAATGGATAGGCAGAGAACAACACGGAAGGCTTGGTCAGCATGGACTCACACACACCTTACTAGGTAAGACACTGGGATTAAGTGCTCCTCACCAAAGTATGGAAGATTTCTCTGCACACCCTTCGTAAAACTGTTTCGCACCTCGATTATTGAAATGTCATTGAAATAGTCACAGGAGGTTAAGACCATGCATCCAATTTTGACAAATTGGTTGCTCAATATTGTGTCAATTTATCCCTTAACGTTATATATTGTTGCTGATGTTATGTCGGGGCTTTTAATTGACCGGGATTCTACTCTGTTGGCTCTGCCTTTGGACTGGGGAGGGTCTCCCCAAGAAGCCGCTGAACTTGACTGGACAATGAGATGCGGACTTTATGCTTGGTGTATGCTTGCAATGAAGGAATCTCAACTGAACTTGAACTGTGGTTGCGCCACGGTGGGGAGGAACCCACCATGGGGGAAGGGGTGGAAAAGAGGTGAGGGAGGGGTGGGGGGAATCCCAGTGCCTATATAGAACTGTGTCACATAATACAATGTAATTAAAAAATATATATAATAAAAAAAGTACTAAATAAGAATAATATAACTGATGAGAAAACAACTGTTCCTGTTACAAGAAAAACAAATATAATAAAGCCATTCAAGAAATTGAAGGTAAAAAGTACTACACCTTGAACTAAAACTCAATAATTCTGAGATGTAATTTTGTTCTAAGAATGTGAAGCAAGGAGATTCAAAAAGTTTGATGCTAACAATATATTTGTATTTTACTATCCTTTCATTATTAAACATGTTTCAGTTGAGAGCCAATAACCTAGAAAATGTTACTTTAAATTTAAAGAAGACTATGACTAAAAGTTTTAAATAATAAAATTATGAATATCTTATTATTTTATAATGTCATTTGGCAAAACACTGCAAAACAAGAATAACCTTAGAAAACTTGTCAGAGTTTTGAATTAGAGTTTCCTCAAAGGTTAAAACAGAATGAAAATGGAATTCTTGACAAAAACTTCCTGAAGTGATAATGCTATATTTTATGTATAAAAATGTAATCTAGCAAAATTAGTTCCCTGTTTTGATTTGCCAGTTCTTCCAATAAAAGCATCATAATACCAACAAATGGAAAAAAACTGTTTTACTTTATTTTTTTCATAAAATGAAAAAACAAGTCTTTGTAACTTTCAGGGACATTGACAAATGCTATTAATAATTTCATGGGAAAAATATATCTTGAAATTCTATGCATGCCAGCACTGACCTATCCCTGGCTCTTGCTCCCATTGGGGGTGAACCAAAGGATGGAAGACTGATCTTTCTCTCTCTCTTCTTTTCCTTTCTCTCTCTCTCTCTCTCTCTCTCTCTCTATGCCTGCCTCCCTCCCACCCTCCTAAATTCCTTCTCTCCCTTACTCTATGTATGATTTTCAAGTTAGTACATTTTAAAAAGAAATTTTGTTATTTTTCTATACATCTGAACAGATTTTGAAAAGGCAAAAGTTAAACAAAAATAGCAAATCAAAGGAACTTGAACAGCGATAAGAAACAATTACGGGAGCACAAGAAGCAATGCTTGCCTTCCTACTCGGTCAAAGGAACGACAGACATACTTAACCATAACAAACCTGGGTAACACATCCTGAAAGTGTTTATTTCCTTATGTATAAGAAATTTTGTGGTCTTTATTGTTTTCATTTACTGATCTAGGATAACAGGAAAGTCAATACAATTCACACAAAATTAACTGTAAACCCTAGAAATATTCTGGCAGATTAAAGAACATTTGAAGAAGGAGTAATTAGTTATCAAGGAACCAAGTTTGGGATCAATCAAAAACAAAGTCCTGCTATTGTATTAATACCTATCATAATTTCTGCATATGCCAGGATATTATAAATAAAACAAAGTTTGCTTTGAAAATTTTGCCTTTTAGTAAATTTCTTTCTTTGTATTCTGAACAATTTAAAATTTTGTATACTTATATTCTCATAGATGAAGTGTATAATGAAGACTAACAAACCAGAAGTGAAGATATGTCATATTTTGCATTTTTACTCTCAAACAACAAGAGGACTACCAAGAAAATTGATAACTACACCTTGATATGTAGGATACTACATATCATATGTACATATGTACATATATACATGTACATGTATATGTAGGATATGTAGGATACTAGATTTTTTACTAGTGCCTATAGCTACAATGCTATTGTAAACTAGCAGAATGTTGGGTTTGTTGACTGTATTATTGTAATTATATGGGAAACAAAACAGTGGTGTTGGGAAGAATGAAAAGGTGAAAAAGAGTAATTGGAGGGGGAAAACCCTTTACCTATAAAACCATAACATGGAAATAATAATAAAAAAGTAAAAAGAAAAACTTCATAACAGATCAGGGTTCAATTATGTAAGAGCAAACAAAAATATGATTGATGTTAACATGCAATAATTCCCTAATTGCCAGGTTCAAGTGTATCAAAATTAAATATTTCCCCCAAATTCTTGCTTTTAGCCATATGGCAGATATCAGCATTTGGGATCCTTTGCAAGTCTCAAAGGTGTAAAGGGACACAGAAAGTAAACAAGCAAACCAAAAGCAAAAATCTGAGCTACTGCTGATCAACAATTTTCCTTTTAAAAATATTTATTAATTTTATTATTCCATGATACAGTTCCAAAGACCCCAGAGTTTCCCTTTCCCTTCCCCAAAATCCTTACCTCCTACTAAACTCCCTTATCTTAGAGTCCTTCACAATCAGCCATAAGTCCATCATTCTGCTATTAAATTGTATCCTGACAGTGTAGGAATGGGCATGTAAGAGAGTCCAGCATCCTATTGTCAAGATACATTCAACACTTTTCTTGGGAATCCATCTTCGATTTGGAAGTAGAGATGCACACTGCATTGTATCTCCACATCTGTATGTGATAGTCTCTATTACAAAATTACTACACATTCTCTTAAATGAAAAGCCATAAAATAACATCAACAAAAGAGAGAAAAATAGAAAATTTGCAACATCATGAAGTTAAATAATGTTACTGAATGACCAATGTGCCACTAAAGAAATGAAAAAGAAAATCAAAGACCTTCCTGAAGCAAATGATGCTATTGTGGGACCTATGAGTCAGTGAGGAAAT